TACATATCCTATATATTATATATTAGACTCATCGCCCACATAATATATATATATATATATATATATGCATGCATATATAAAAGCATATATATTATATATATGATACTATAATATATATGCATATATAAAAGCATATATATTATATATATGATACTATAATATATATGCATATATATACATATATATAATATATATACATATATATATAAGCATGTATGAGCATATGTATTATATATATGATACTCTTATGTATATATATATAATATATATACACTACCATCATTTAGAGTATGCAATAGTACTGGCATACACCTCCTGTTCGCTGCGGAATAAGAAAGACAGAAAGAAACAAGTAAATAAACAAACAAACAAACAAACAGCAACCGACCAACCAAACAAACAAACAAACGAACAACGCCAAGACATTATTAACTCTCCAAGACGTTATTTGTTTGTCTAGCCTTCCTTTGATTGAAGATTTTTCAAGAGATAATAATAAGCAAAGAAAGAAGTAAGCGACTCTCTTTGTTGTCTCTATACACCTTAACCTCCACTCATCAACCTGCTGCTGCTATACCCCCACAATACCAAACACGAGAGACTCTTGCTTCCTGCTGCTGCTGCTCCAAGCAACTGCCGCTGCTGCTGCTGCTGCAGGCCGCTCTTGCGGCAGCTACTGCTGCTGCAAGCAGCTCCCTCCTGCTGCAGCTGCAGCTACGAGCAATTACTTCTGCAGCTGCCACTGCAAGGAACTGCTGCTGCAGCTGCTACTGCAGCAGCAGCAGCAACAGCAGCAGCAGCAGCCTCAGTTGCAGTTGCTGCTGCTATTGGTGTTTCTCTCCGTGCTGCTGTTTGAAGTTTTTCTTTCTGTGTGCGTTCAATGGACGAACTGCGTCTGTTGCATATATATACATATATATACACATATATACATTTATATATATATACATATATATATATATATATAAAGATGTAGCTGTTCTCTTATTGTTTCTTCTCTAGCCTCCTTTCGATATAGTTGACAATGCCTGAAAGGGTTTGAGGGGTAGCAGCAGCAGCATCAGTGGATAGATTTTGGCTGTCTTCTGCTGATGCACCCATGAGCACAGCATCTCCACCTTTACCAGAGAGGAATGCATTAGAAGTTGAAGCAAACCCAGCATTACTATTATTATAATTATTTGATGGTGTCCACTGGCCGCTCCTTCCTCCAATACCGCCTCCATTGTTTGTATTAATTCCTGCATATCCGCTGCTACCCCCATTGAACCCGTTATTACCCCCCCCATTAAACCCGTTACTACCACCCCCATTATATCCGTTATATCCATTAGTACCCCCCACATTGAACCCGTTATTACCACCCCCATTAAACCCGTTATTAATACCCCCATCAATTCCATTATATCCATTACCCCCATTAACACCATTGAATCCCTTATTTCCTACATTAAATCCACCATCTCCGTTAACAACATTTACTCCGCCTCCTCCATTAGTATATCCATTACTACCCCCATTAACACCATTAAACCCATTACTACCTCCATTTACACCGTTAAATCCACCATCTCCATTTATACCGTTAAATCCACCATCTCCGTTTATACCGTTAAATCCACCATCTCCATTTATACCATTAAACCCGTTTCCTCCATTTATACCATTAAATCCATTTCCTCCATTTATACCATTAAATCCATTTCCTCCATTTATACCATTAATAAGGCCGCCTTTGATTGGCGTAGTAACGAAGGTAGTAAGTCCTTTTGAAGGTAATAGAACAGCATCCGTTTGCGCAAAAGAAGGTGTAGCACTGCGGCTAAAGCTCTGCTGTACATTAAATGAAATCGGGTTAGAAGATATCGGGAAACCCCTCTGAGAAGAATAACTCCTTATTACTACTTGAGGTGTGCTGCTCATACGAGAAGAACGAGAAGCAAAAGATGCGGGCCGATCTGAATGCAAACAAACAAACATATTTCAAACATATCTTTGCACTATACCCTTCATATTCTCCCTCTAAATACACTCTACAGTCGTACATATATATCTATAAATAAATAAGTAAATGAATAAATAAATGGATAATATATATATATGTGAACATGTGTCACGCGTAGACAATGGCAACAATATATTTCTATATTTATACAATAAATATATTGCATATATACGCAGAAAGAAAGAGAGAGGGCAAGAGAATGATAATAACTAAAGTGCCGATTCCCTCGCAAGAACGAACAGGTAGAAAAAAAGATGAAAAAATGTGGGAAAATGATAAAAAAAGAAATGATGAAGAAAGAAATGGTGAAATTAGAAAAAAATGAAGAAGAAATTACGAAGAAATGATGAAGATATTACACAGAAAAGATACAGAAATTAGAAATAAATGAAGAAGAAATCACAAAGAAATGATAAAGAAATTGCAAAGAAGAGAAATGATTTAAAATGGAAAAACAAAGATGAAACAAAGCCGAAAAGAAACAGAAAACGACAAAATGAAAAAAGATGAAAAAATGATGTTAACACCCCCAACAAAACCTAAAACAATAATACCAATAATAATAATAATAATATCGATAATAATAATAATAATAATAATAATAATAATAATATTTAATTTAAAAGTGTATATAGAACTTACAAGAAGCAAAGGAAGCAGTGGCTGGTGGTGGAACTGCTGCAACGTCTGTCGCTGGAACTGTAACATCGACGACATCTCCGTTGGTTTGAATAGTATCGCTTGTATTTGTTTCATCAACAATAACGGTATCACTTCCATTATTATTAGAGTCAATAACAATATCTACGTCTGTGCTACCCCCACCATTTGTTACACCGTTTGTTGTTCCTCCTCCTTTCGTAAACATATTACAGCTTCCACATGGAGGTAGACCGCCCATTCGTCCTGCGAAACTGCTTACACTTGGTGTAGCAACAGGTGTATCTGTTATAATACTGCCTTTACTATTGCTGCTATATGTAGCACCAAATGAAGCAGTTGCAGGTCCGCCGTAGCTTCGACCACTGAAACTCGAAATAGATGGACCTGGAGAAGCAGGCGTAAATATTCCTCGAGAAACAAGAACACCGTTTCCACCTTTAGAAGTAGGGAGAGGTAGAGGAGCTGAAGCAATAACAGGTGCATCAACAGCTGTTCTAATGCTGTTGATCAATGAATCTAACTCCCCAATAGTTACAGAACGCGAAGCTGTAGAGGGAACAGACGGAACTGCAGCGAAACTCTGGAAACTCTGAGATTTCCCTATGCATTCCACCGAGACGAAAGATGAAGAAGAAGCCACCAAGAGCAACGACCACAGAATCGTAAATAAAGCCATCTTCGCGCCTCAGCAATTGCTGCAAAAGAGAAAAAAAGAAATATCGACAACTCTATTTAAACAAACCTACTTTCCATTCAAATCATATACATTATTCACAACAAACACATGCCGCTCATGCTGCAAACTCTACAGCTGCAACTGCACACAGTCGCTGTAAGCTGAGGCTCCCAGTTGTCTATAAAGTGGGAGCGGAATATATCCTTTTATGCATGAACGAAATATTCCATGAAATAAACAAATAATGCAACCAACATAAGCCGAAATGCCAGAACAGAATGCAAGAAAGCGAGAGGAAGCTCTCTACAAACACCTCGTGAGGCTCGCGGATGCAAGATGGTGGTGTGCGTGGTGTAGTTTATGCTGCTGAACTTCGGGATATGAGTGAATACCGGGAAAACTAAACTCCCCTTGATAAATAAAGCATAAAAATCAGAAAAAAAGGAGAAAAAATTCATAAATTTCTGCTCGAAACGGCTGCTGACGACCGGGAGGGTCACTTAGAAGGAACGAAGGTAACTCACGAGAATAATGCAAGGAAGATGGATATTTTCTTCTTCTCTTTACAGATCTACAACAAATGCAGAAAGATAGACTTAAAATGCTTCTTCTAATAATAATAAACAGAAGAAGCTCGGAGAAACAAACAAAACAGCGAACAGCCATAACGCAAACCCGCTACTCCCAAGCTAGCGAAGTAGGCGAACACAGCAGCCGCCTACCAGCTGTGCTGCGCTCGTATTGCGGGCAAAAAAACCGTAATTTGCTACTTTAAATTAATTTCAATGTTTTTTACACATCTTATTACTAAATATTATTTATTTTGCCTTTTCCCCGGGGTTTTTAGCTCCAGAAATGCCTCCTCCTTCATGCGTCAACACATTCATATCGGCGATTGCTGTGCTCGCGATATGTTCTGCGGCTTATTATTGTCTGCACATTCTTCATTAAATTCCGAACATAGAATATTATTAATATTATGAACAATATTATAAAAATGTTTTTAAACGCTTTATTCAACCGTTTCCTAAACTATAATTGAAAAGAATCTTGCCGAAAAACAGTTGTGCTTAGACATATTTTTCTTCTTTTTTTTATTCAATACAAACGCTCATCTCCTGTTTCTTCATGCTTCAATAAAAATGTATTTTCTTCAGTTGTTGAATGTCTTTCGTTTTAAAAGTCTAATTGCAGATCTTTATCTGATTCTAAGTCGTTCCGTTGCTGATGGAAGCACGGTGGTGGTTGGCGTGTGTCAACTCTTGTTCGTTTGCTGCTGCTGCTGCTGCTGCTGCTACTACTGCTGCTGCTGTTGCTACTACTGCAACTGCTGCTGCTACTGCTGCTGCTACTGCTGCTCCTGCTGGTGACTGCTGCTGGTGGTGCTGCTGATGCTGGTGCTTTTTCTGGTGCTGGTGCTGCTGGTGCTGCTGATACTGTTATTGCTGTTGCTGATGTTGCTGCTGCTGCTGCTGCTGGGGGCCTCTCCCCCTTTTCTGTCTGTTCTTTTGCGTTTCTCTCGACTCGATGCAAAGTTGATTGAAGCTGAAATTCATTTGGTGCGGTGTACAGACACTTCCTTTTTGCTGCGGTGGTGTTGCTGTTGAGTGCTGTTGTTGCTAAACCCTGAACCCTAAACCCTAAACCCTTGAGCTTGAACTCTAAACCCGACGGAATGAACATTCATTTAAAATATTAAGAGTTAACAACAACTAATGCGGCTTCAAAACGAACTTCTCTTCCCTCATACGCAACATACCCTAAACCCTAAACCCTAAACCCTAAACCCTACACACTAAACAATAGTAATATCCCGTGTAATCAGAAGAAGGAACTGGAGAAAGAAGCTGTTTGTTTGCAACCAGAGTTCTTCTCCTATTAATTAATTAATTAATTTAATAATTAATTAATTATATAAAGAGAAGAAATATATAAAGAATATCATAAGCAGGGCCTAGGCTGTCTGTTTGCTAGACGAGACGAAGAAGAAAAACAAAAAAAGCAGCAATAAATAGATAAATGAATAAATATATATATAAATGCGTTGCAAATAAACAAATAAACAAATAGAGAAACGAATAAACAATCAATAAATTGCGACAAGAAGAATAAGCCAACAAATCAAAACAAAGACATCGCTTAAATAAATATTTTTGTATATATTCGCCTTTTCTTGATTTTAATTCTTTTTTTTGTTTCTCCTTTCTTCATCCAGTTGAGGCCACTGGAATGAAGACACCCAAATCGCCTCCATGTATATATATATATATATATATTTATGTCTATATTAATATATAAATATATAAATATATATGTATGTATAAACCCTAAACTATATATTTATTTATCTATATATATATGTACTTAAATATACATGCCTATACATATATATATATATATATATATATATATATAGACATGTGTGTGTGTATAGACATGTAAACCCAAAAACCCTGATACTAAGTCATAAACAAATATATTTGTTTATCAGTACACACATATATATGTATATAAATGCATATATATACACGTACTTTTTTATATTTATATATATCTGCATGCATGTGTATATATTGAATTCGTTGTTGTTGCTGCTCTCGCTGAAGTGTAGAAGACAAGAGACAGCCACAGTATATGCTTCTATGTGCACATCAGAATAAAAATAAATGTAATTAAAGACATAAATAAACAAACATATAAATACATATATATATTTATAATATGCACACACACATATATATATATATATATTTATTTATTATACAGTATTTATTCTCTTCAGCAGAGTAAGTCGTTGCCGCACGTACAGATATAAAATAAAGTTTTCGCCCCATACATGATTAAACCCTTTTTGTTAAAAATCGGTAAATTATTATTTTAAATAATACTAATAAATTAATCTGAATGCAATATTTTGTTTTTTTAATAACGAATTGTTGCTGCAAACAAATCAGCAAAAAGTTTGTGGCTGCAGTTGCATGCGATGTGAGTTCTCCTTCCTGTGAAAGGGTAGGGAAAAGCTTTTCATGTTTTTTTCCTTTTAAATTACATTAATTGTTTAAATATTATAAATTAACTCCTTAAATTAATTCAATTTCATAGAAGAAGAGATGAAACAACTCAACGAATGCAACAGCTGCAAGGGATGCTGGGGGGCCCCTTGAGGGGCCCTCTTCCGCTCTTTTCGCTTAATAAAGGACTTTTTAGATTTAATTTAGTTAATTATTCGCATTTTTCTAATTATTGTGACTTTTCGCGGGCTCTTTATCAGCAGATTTACCCTCTGGGCTTGCGGTGTATAGGCACCTTACATACTCGCAACCGACCTGCAAGACTCCGTATTCGTGTGAGTTGATGATTATTATTGAAATAAATAAATAAGAAATAAATTTAAGTTAATTATTTTTTACCTCCTAATTTATCCTTTCATCCCTCTGGAGGGCAGGGTTTATCAATCTGGCTGGGTTTAGGAGTTCTTTAGGGTTTAGGGTTTAGGGTTTAGGGTTTCGTGGATGCATGTTTTTATCCATAAACTGCACAACATTACTGCATATTTTATTAGCAGTATCTCAACGTTAAGAGTAAGGGTAGGGTTTAAATAGATTTATGTGTAAATGCAGCCAACGTGCACCTCCTAACAAATTATCAGTTTTCTATTTTCTCTTTATTTTTCTTTTATTTTGCGGTGTATATGTATGTACACCGTACAGGGTCTGCCTTTTGGAGCAACAAAGGAGGAGATAGCTGAGTTTTTTAAGGGTTTTCAATTAGCTGGGCCTCCCTCTTCTTCAATTTCTCTATTAACACTGCAGACAGGACGACCTAGTGGTGAAGCATTTGTTTATTTTATTGATGCAGAAGAAGCATTTAAAGCTCAGCGAGAGAAACACATGAAGTTTTTAGGTAATAGGTGAGAAAACAACAACAAACAAACAATTCTTCAAAGAGAAGTGTGATGTCTATTCTCTTTGCTGTTTCTTTGGTGCATTCTTATATATATACAAATATATATTATATATATAATATATATAATATAATTTAATTATGCAGATTATTTTCTTTCTTAACAGGAGCTAAAATATATCAATTGTTTGTTTTCTCAGCTACTTTATCGTGTGTCTTTCTATTTATATGTCTGTATCTATTTACTCCTTTATCTCTATTTAATTACTTAGTTGTTTATTTATCTTTCTTTCTTTTTTAATTTACTTGCATGCATTAACATCTATTATTTAATTCTTTATATCTATTTATGTATTTATCTTTGTTTCTTTTTCACTCTGTTTGCCTCGACTAATATCTATTTACTCTCTTATGCATCTACTTACTCCTTTATATTTATTTATTTATTTAATTTATTTAATTTATTTATTTGTCTGCAGATATTTAGAGTTGTTGGTTGACTTCAATATAAACGCCAGCCCCTTTGGCTGGGCTGAGGTTTCTGAGCGGAGTGAAAATATAAACAGAAAAAGATATACAAAAGAAAGAAGATAAAAGATAATTTATATTTAATTTAAACGAACAATTATAATAATACTTCAATTTATAAACAATAATAATTACTTATAATACTCTATTATTATAATATATACTTATTTTTATGTATATATGTATGTATATAGGCGGGGTATAGATATATAATATAAACTTATTATCTATCGCATGCATATGGTGCTGTTGAGGTGTATATACACAGAGACAGGCATATAATAAACAAACGAACAAATAAACACACAAATAGACAAGCAAACGTATACACAGACAGACATTTAGACAAGCAAACAGATATAGAAACAAAATAAACACAGATAAATAAATAAACACATCAAGCAAGCAAGCCAGCAAGCAAAGAAAGAAACAAACAAACAAAGCTGTACGTACACCTCAACAATCCACTGCAAAGCAGAGACAGAGACAGATGACTGCTACGCCTCTTCTTTGCTTTCACTTCCTTTCTATAAAAACGTATATTTATATATGTACATATATGTTTATAT